CAATAAGTGGTGCTGTGTAGTGTGAGTGAAGTAGGGAGTCCACAATAAGTGGTGATGTGTAGTGTGAGTGAAGTAGGGAGCCACAATAAGTGGTGATGTGTAGTGTGAGTGAAGTAGGGAGCCACAATAAGTGGTGCTTTGTAGTGTGAGTGAAGTAGGGAGCCACAATAAGTGGTGCTGTGTAGTATGAATGAAGTAGGGAGTCACAATAAGTGGTGATGTGTAGTAGGAATGAAGTAGGGAGTCACAATAAGTGGTGATGTGTAGTGTGAGTGAAGTAGGGAGTCACAATAAGTGGTGATGTGTAGTGTGAGTGAAGTAGGTGGCCACATGAATCTTGATTTCATTCTCCAGACTGTGATACTTTCCTTTTTAAATACGATCCCAATGTTTATCAATGGCTTTACTAGAGTAATGTCTATATCTGTATCATCCTAGAGAAATATTGTTATATTCCAAACAATATTCTCTATATCCTGTTAAAAAACTGCACAACTGTTAACAATATTTCAGTATTTTGATGTTAAAATTAATTCGAACTTTGTGTAATATGGCACATACATTAATACTATTATCTACTGATCAATGAGTAACGGCCCATTAGAGTAACAGTTATTATGTTTACGTTGTTTTTTAACGCAAAGCTACGCATTGGGCTAACGGTTCTCTACCTATCTACAGCGGGAAATCGAACCTCGAATTTCAGCATTGTATATTAGGAAACGTACAGCGAACCCAATGTAGGACTATTATTTTGAACCAAAAGAAAGATCTGATCTATTGTTGTTGAAGTTTCAGACTAAATGTACTTCTCCAGCAGGCGCACAGAATATAAAACCTGTTAGTAACAATTTTTCAAACTATATTCGTCTGAAAATAATACTTTGTTTCAACTAAAAATAATGATAACACTGAAAATAAAATATCTTTGAATTACAAATGGTATTGTAAAAATATCTGAACAACTTATTTCTATTTGTTTTTCGAGTTTTGTGCTATTTTGATTAAATTATCAAATAATTTTATTCAACATATTTTTAAAATGCTGTGATTGAAAATTCAACTAAATTCCAGAAATATAGATTCCTAATATATTACTTTCGTTGTTTAGATTTTTTTTGTAGTGAAACAAGACATATATTGAAAATTCAAAGAAATGTGCAAACCTCAGGAAGAAGAATGTGTCTACGGAAACAGTGAAGTTTTCTACCGGAGCAAAAAGTGAGTTTTGAGCGAAGTCCAGAAACCCATGAAGTCTACCTAAGTAAAATGACATCCAAATAGAAATAAAGAACACAAACAGAATTTACTGAATACTCTGCTGAAGATACATCTTATTTCAAATAAAGTTGTTCGGTCCTGTACATAAAACTTTTAAACACTACATGATTTCAAGTTACTTCATAATAATGTTTACAAAATAGTATTTTAATTTTCGATGTTCGATCGTTTTACAACGTCAGTTAAAAGCCTATGTTGGGCATTTTAGGAAAATGATGAAAAGAGTTTACAGTTTTAAGTGCTGACATAGAAACATAAATTGGTGAAAGATATTGTCTTTAAAATATGCAAAAGTTGAGATAGAAACAAAATATAGGTGGTTAGGGTGCTCGACTCGTAATCTGAGGGTCGCGGGTTCGAATTCCCGTCACACCAAACATGCTCGCCCTTTCAGCCGTGCGGGCGTTATAATGTGATGGTCAATCCCCCTATTCGTTGGTAAAAGAGTAGCCCAAGAGTTGGCGGTGGGTGGTGATGACTAGCTGCCTCCCCTCTAGTCTTACACTGCTAAATTAGGGACGGCTAGTGCAGATAGCCCTCGTGTAGCTTTGCACGAAATTCAAAACAAACAGAAACAAAATAAAATGTTTGCGTTTAATTATGATATTTTATAGTACTTACAACTGTAATTGGAATGTTGAAGCCGCCATATTCTATAAACATGTGCATTTATAAGCAAAATTTTATAATTGCTTTAATAATCGAAATATTTATTATTATTTCAAGGCTCAGTAGCATTTGCTTTTTCACTTATGGGGTGCCAGCTGACAAAAACGAAACATTAAAATACCGGTATTTAGAATTGTTAAAGAAAAGCAACGTATTTCACTCAAGAGTCAAATAACTCAGAATTTACATACTTGAAAACAGCTACGTGGTTATAGAGGAATGTAAAACAACTTTATAATACACGAAGAAATTCTCACGAAAATAAAACAAGTAAAGCGTTGTCTAATTATAGTAGTTACCCGTTTTGTTTTTAATAAATTTGTATTCGTATATTTTACGGCTCTCCATTTCCATTAAATGTGTGCAAGAAGTCGATTAAATTTATTCTTGTTCTTTTTCTGAGTGCAAAGCTACACAACGGCTAACTGTACTTTGTCTACTGCAGGGAATCGAACCTCGGCTTTATGCGTTGTAAGTTCGTAAACTCACCCTTGACTGACAAGGGGACTCACCTTTCAGAATTTAATTCTAAATACAACTATATATTATTTGATAATACGACCCTGAGTAACATGTTTATGTGACACATGGGTTAAACGTGTAGGTTCAAGAGCCTGCAAGGTTCAAACACAAACGGTTCTGGTGTCAGATTTGTTTTTTCTTTCGCTTTTTAATAGCCTGTACTTATATATTGATAAAATCTAAGTTCTTTTTTTTTATCTGTTATTATATTTCTGCACAAAATATACTTGGTAAATAAATGCTATACATCTGTCTTTATACCTGGCACATATTATTTCAATGAAACTATAGTAAAAAATAGGAATGCTTTTCTCCAGTTAGATGATGTACCCGTTCAACGCACAGGGAAGATATGGGGGAGAGGTGGAGAATCCGTTTGCATGTCTTTCCTTTCAGCATCAGTTTGTCTTCTTTCCTTTGTATCTTCGGGATCTTCATTTCACCGTGTCAGTTGTTTTCCTTTCTTCAATTATTCTATTTTTTTCTAAGCTTTCCTGATTTTGTCCTGTCATTCACCTACTTTTTCTTTCTCTTGCTAAGCGACGGTTTCTTTCTTGCACTATTTCAGAATTATTTTTATTCATCATTTTAGTTTAGAATTTATTGCATAGATGGCGGAAGTACTATACAACTGAAATGAAAAGCTGAGGTGGTTTGATGCGTTATACATGCCGTCTTTTAATCGATAACCAATATCTAAAATCCCTAATTTAATCTATAATAGTATTGAAAGAGCTTGCTGCAAGTATGATCATTTATAAAGAAAACACTAACATAAAATCCTGACACAACTGGTATTTGAATGCGATAATTCCGCTTGAGGTCGGGGAGCTTTACCCATATATATATATATATACTAGCGAAAGCATCCGGTTTCGCTCGGGTTATTAGGTTGATTTATTCTAGATGACTATAAAAGTACAATCTGTATACTTTTGTTACTCCTTTACAGCATGTTTGCCTGTTTATAATGGTAACCTTCTCTCTGATTTGTCCTCCGATTTTAAACTTAAATAATAAAAACATGTGCGTGTCTGTCTGTGATTTCCATTTGTAATATAAATAACCACTTCTTTTCAATGTGGTTTTTCGCTAGCTTGCCTCATTAAAAAGATGCGCATGCTTGCACGCACGTGGAGAAGATAAATAATAATACCCAGGTACACACCCTCGGGGTCCACTTAGTATGAGTGCAAAATTTCAGGTTTCTAGGTCCTTTGCTCTTGGAGTTATGGCGGTCGCACACGCACATAGACACGCCCTTTTATTATTATAGATATATGTAGATAGATAGACAGATAATTCAGAATAAATCTAACAGGGATCAGCACACTGGAGAACACTGTTTGTAATACATGATAATGCAAATAAATTCGAGCAAGTAATTAAGAATATGACAAGAAATGGATAAATATTTGTTTTTAAAAAGGCGATAACCCGGGTTATCTCGGGTAAATCACAAAGAGTGTTAGAACTTATGGCTAGAGTAAGAGCAACTAGTGAGTAGTACCCGCCGCCTACACGAAAACCTAATAGGTAGGTTGATTGTCACATTTTTTTAGTGCCACTTTATACGACACATAGGTTAAACATCCAAGTTAGAGATCTTCATGGTTCAGGCATAACCATGCCTTATTTATAGATGGTAATGAGAGGAAGTGTAGCCAATCAACAGCACCCATCGCTACAAGGAAACCCTTAAAAGAATAGACGTATTGATGGCTGTATTTTAATACCAATTCACAACTGAAAGCACATCATGTGTTCTTGGCATATCTTGGATTTGAACCTTAGACCTTTCGATCCTAAGCCCATGTTGGTAACTACTAAGCTATATCTGGCCTAACATTGAGGTACTTTGGTATTTTATTCCAGAATGTATTTCGCACTTGTTTAAGAAAGTTCAGTACTGTTACCACAGCGGGGGTCACGTGACGCTGATAACATGTCATATTCTCGAAGGTTCGTGAAGCTTCGAGAGGTTACTAGATATGTGGTATTCTTGTATATATAAGCCGCCAAGAAGTGACGGCAACAAGGTAATGTAATTGAACTGCGGACAGAGAGAGGTATTGTTGAGTCGAGCACGTGAGTCGTTCATTGTGAATTATAGCGTTTGTTATAGCGTGACTGTGGAAATTAAGTGTATTGCTAAGTTGTATTTAGAAAGAGTAAACCAGTTTTATTTAAGAAAGGACTTGCATCGCTAAAGTTTTTTCGGAAAGAATTTTTACGGAAAATTAACTAACGACCAGAGACATAACAAATTAGGACTATAATTTACTATTAAAACCTAAGTAACTTTCATATTCAACAAAACTGAATGTCATTGTTGTTTATATTTCAACAAAAAAATAATAATCGCATTTAAATAGCAATACATTAGTTCAGACTCCTAAAATAGAAGCATTTAAAAATAAAACCCTACACCGTAGATTTTCTACTCTGAGTTCAAATAATTAAAAACTAAGCGGATTAATAATATCATAGATATGACAAAGCAAAAACCACTGTCAATTCTTCTGGGTTGTGGTTTAATGGAACGCTGCCAAAGAAGTTGGTGTTATAAAATGTATTTTATACTCCAATGTGCACTTGAGAAGTTACAAATCACTGTTGTAAAATACTGTCAAACAGTTTAGTTAATTGCTAAGTAAATGAGGAATCTAGTAATCCATCATGTAACCTGTGATGCACATGATTACTCATTCATCTAACACTATTATGTGCAGCGGTTTCACACAATTTTGTATCAGTTCTCATCTTTGTGATACACCCTAGAGATGAAAAGTGAAATAAGCTTGTATTAAACAACTTTAAATAATATTATCTTTGCGGTAAATCAACGAATTTAAAATGTTTCAAAATGTCAATGAACCATAAAATAGATTAGTCACTATTGTTGGATTGGATCTTTGTGGCGCAAAGAAACGTGGCTATCTGCGCCAAACACAATTTTAATATTGTTGGTTAAGAATGATCAAATAGTGATATTAAAATATGCCCCCCCCCCAAAGAAATATTTGAAAAATTACTTTCGATGTTTTAATTTGAAAAAAATAGAAAAAATAAATAGAACTAAAAAGGCCAATGCCCCGTAAAAAGTAAAATCACGATCAATTTTGGCAATGCCACTATCAATGGCACTGTTCAACGTCAACGGCAAACCGCTAGACAAAATATGACTAAATTGATGCGCCGCTGCCAACAACAGTGTCACAAAGGCCATACATTGGCGGATCAGTCTCTCGTAAAAGAATATGATGATTAATGAAACTGTGGTCAATGTGTTGCATAGACAAGACAACTTCATCTCTCCGATCCTTATAGAAACTAGATGGCCAAACAACAACAGTAGGCTTTATCTAGAAAAGCCTGCTGTGATGTTTCTCACTCCATAGCGACTCCAAACTGGCGTGAAGCCGTACTTTCACGATAGGTCAAAAGTCCACATTAGGAACAGACAGGGCTGTGACAACGCCAGAACAGACAGATTTAACTGCAGTGTCACCAAGTTCGTTTCAAGAAATATCAACATGTCCGGGAATCCAGAAAGACTGAATCAAGATATAATTATGGTAAAGTGAAGAGGGCCAGTAGTTTTAGAATATCTGATAGGACTGGATGAGATCTCACATTAAGTGACTCCAGAGCCTTCAAAGAGTTAAGCATGTCAGTATGGATAGTATGCAATGAAATATTATAGATTTCAAAGAAGACGTATTGATGTATCGTTTATGTGTAAAACCAGCAAATGAATAGAATCAGGTCAACCACAGCAGTCTGTG